GCCAGCGGACAATCGCAACGCAGCCGTGAAACCTCATCTGAAAGGCTCAATTTGGGGCACCTCATTCCATATTTTTTGACGACCAAACAAAAACAGGCGGTTTACCAGCGGCGCATAACCCGCGACGACTCCTACGACGCGTCATTATTTTCTCTGTTTCTTTCACAGCGTCACTCTCCACCCTCCACCCTTCATCATGACCGGCCGCGGAGGCGGCGGCGGACGCCGCGTCCTGCTTCCCCCAATGTGCGTTGCTGAGACGGAATGCAAGCCATGAGACGACGGCTGTGGGCTGTTGTGAGATGCAGACAGATTTTCTGATATGATCTTAGGCTAACTCGTTCATAGTAACATGATCTTCAAGCTTCTGCAGTCGGTGAGTGGGCAACCGAGCACGAGAGCATCTTCCTTGGATTCCTTTTTAAGCCATACTAATCCGTCTCTCGACAGCATGCTACCGTCAGCGTGTGGCTGTATGAGCAGCTGTCATTCCGTATCGAGGGAAAGATCCGGGGCTTTGACGAGTTCCTGAACCTGGTGCTGGACGACGCCGTGGTCGTGGGCCAGGTTACCAAGACACAGCCCGAGGAGACGCGGAAACCATTGGGTACGTATAGGCTTACTTCCATGCTCGCTTTATCTCATGCGTACGAGTTCTAACAAATGGTTTACCAGGACGCATTCTTCTTAAGGGCGACAACATCTCGCTTCTGCAGAGCGTGTCGCCATGAGAAGGCACCGCAATGGGAGGACGACGAACAGAGGCTGCGCCGCGTACAGCGCCTTTAAAGTGCGACCAAAGCGGCCAGTGTAGAAGCAAAGAGGCAGCACGGAGGCAGCATGACCTCCTAGGGACTATCCCTATTCTTTGCGCGCTGTATAGCGTTCATGCTTGGGAAACACAACTTTTAAAAAGGAGTCTCCGGTGACGGCTACCGAGCAGGGGAGCCTGATTTTGCAATTTACTTTTGTCATTTAGAGTATCTTATTACCACGGGTGGCATTTCTTTTACAGTGCATTAAAAGGGATTTTAAAACACGATTTCAAGGTGTAAAAATTTAACACCAAAATGTTTCTGCATTGTTGAAATAGTTGTATTTACCAGCCTTCCATCAATGTGGGATGGTGAGTTTTTCATGAAGTGCGCGCGCGCACTTCATGATTTTCCGAACCATACATGATGCATACCATATGCTCCTAGGTCGGCTCCTATTGCTAGTTGAGAGACAGGACAAATGAAAAAAATAAGAGAAACAAGTATAAGAAGCGTAGAGCTAAAGAAGGGTGACAGAAATGGCAAAAATGAAACGAAAAAGCCCAGAAAGATGTCGTAGAGAGTCAGAAAAGGCAATGAATCAAGAGCAGAGGGTGGAAAAAAGACCAAAATACACCAAATTACCGCGTGATGCTATACAAGCTTTTATTATCAATCCCCATCACCAACCTATCTCCTCGAAGGGAGAGCGACGTCTAAGCAAGCCAGAACCTGTGAATCGTTAGTATTTTTGACACACGAAATACGATCTGGCAAGTATTCAAGTGGGCGGGCAGGAACGTACCTCCTCGCCAACGATGGCTTGGTTTCTCAGATACCGCCCTACGCCGCGCAAGAGCTCGATCTGCTCCTCGGGCGTCAGGCCAGTTATAGCCAGCTCCATAACGCTGCCAAGCGTGGCCTTGTGCGTAGCAATAAAAGTGTGGTAGTACATGTAAGCAAAAAAGCCCATGATGAACTGGCAATCCATGCGGTCAGTGATGCCGCCGTGTCCGGGGATGGAGTGGCCAAAGTCCTTGATCTTGAAGGTGCGCTTGAGACCGGAAGCGAAGAAGCCGCCAAAAGGTGCAATGAGCGAGGCGAACGTCGAGAAGATGACGGTATGGATCTGCAGAGGCGCCATAGAGATGCTAAAGGTGGGGCAGCTGGCGGGAAGGAAGAAGAAATGCGGCAGGGTATACGTGCGCTGAAGGAAGACGGGGTTCGGTTCGCACTCGAGGCCGGTGAGGACGTTTGCGCCGAGATCCTGAACGAGCGGTTAGTATAGGCATAGTGGACATTGGTGACAAAGACGAGGATCGCAGAACGTACGTTGACGGGGCAGATGAAGTATTTGCTCTTCATGAGAATGTTGGAGAAGAAGAAACCGAAGAGGACTGTCATGACCCAGGCACCGACGAAGCCCTCTACGGTCTTCTTCGGGGACAGCTTGATGAGCTGAGTGCGGCCAAAGGTGATACCGCAGATGTAGGCGAAGATGTCGTTGGTAATGACGAGCGACGCGGGGAGGAAGAACCAGATCATGCCCTCGAAGATATTGTTCATAACGAAGTGCGCCTGCACAACGATCAAGTACAGGGCCATATGGGTCCATGCGAATTGGGTGAACTGGAACTTGTAATGGCCGGCGCTGAGGGACGTGACGAAGAAGACAAAGCCTGGTAGAAGGATGGGGGTCAGCAGCATATCACGGAAGGCAAAGAAGCGTATCGGTAGTCAGGAAACAGGGCGGCAAGGCCTGTACATACCAAAGACGTAGAGAATGAAACTAATGAAGCGATGGTGCGTGGCCAGCGGGAGAAGGACCTTGTCGACCAGAACAATGTGCTTGAAGTAGTAGATGACACTCTCGCCGTACAAAAAGTACATGGTCGTGGCCAGCCAGTACCAGTTGAGACTCTTTGTGAAGCTGAGCTGGCGCGCGCGGCTAGGTACGCTGGCGATGGCAATGACCTCGGAAAAGGAGACGATCTGGATAGCGGTAACAATGAGAATCATGTAGATGTGGCCCATGAACAGCGCGGCAAAGAAGCCGCCAATCATGACAAAGGTCCAGAATGTGCGCGTGATGAAGTTTTGCTTCTTCTTTTCGTACTCGGCGGCTTGTTCTTGCTCAGGGGTTTGTTTCTAAGGACACAGGAGGACACATGTTAGCAGCAGGTAATGGGACCAAGCTTGACGGACGAGACATATCGCAACGTACTTCTGCAATGTTGCTCAGGACGACGGCCGGCCGGGACTTTGTGGGCGATTGACCGTCCTCGCTGGCATCGCTGAAGCTAGACCGACGGTCACCGTTCGCGCGGTTCGGGAACCGCACACCACGACGGGGCTTCGTCATGGTGGATGTGGGATGTGAGGGTTGAGGGGCGGTTAGGGGCTGAGGATGTGCAGCGGAGGCTCGCGGAAACCGTGATGGTTGTTGACGTTGAAGGGGGGTCGAGCGGCGGGCGAAGATCCAGATGCGGAGCTGTCAATGCGAAAAAGCGATGCAGAGCGCTGCCAGACGGGTCGAGAAATGGACGTTGAGACAGGAAGCAGGAGGTGAAAGTGAGCGATGGTCAAAGACGTCAGTGGCACCCTGTGGACAAAATAAGAACAAAATGTGGTCCCGGCGGCGCGGGAGCAGCAGAATCATAGGCAATGGAAAGATGCTTCGGTTGGGGGATTGTGGGTTCGGCGAAGAAATGAAAGCCGCGTCGTCGGGAACTTTCCTCGCGGACTCCTGTTGCCTTCTTCGTTTTAGGTTACTTTCTTTTTCTTTCTGTGCTGCTTAGTTAGTAACAGGCGACAGGCGTTGCTTGCGGTGAACTCGCACGCTGACTGCACCTTAGACTAGACCGGGAACGCCGCAACAGAGGCGCCAGAAAACAGCTGTCAGAGCTGGTAAGCTAGGGGTGTCGGTGGCGGACGGAGCTGAGGTTTTAGCGTCGCTAGTGAGCAAGCAACCCAAAACCGTCTGAAAGTGACGACGACTGCTTCCTTCGACGTACAGAGATAGCGTGGCCATTTTCTGTTCCATACGACACAATTTTTAGCATCGCTCTTGGTCTGCTACGAAGATCGCAAGAACATGTACCTATGCTGCCACTCTGACATCGCGGTCGTGCTGTTGCTATCGGTGTCGTTACCAAAGTTGAAGCTGGCCCGGCCTCTGTTTGAGAGTTAATATGTTCAAATAACGGCGGGCCACATGTGCGAAAAGACATTTCTCGATTCCTATTTTATGCAGGAGGCCGGTAGGTAATTAGTTATGGCCCCTATCTATGGTACAGCGGCCGGTATCAATTACCTGGCAAATATTGCGACTATTTAGACTTACTATTTTGCTTGGCTGGCCGGTCTGAGCCTGGTCAGTTGGCAGGGTTCCATCTCGGGCCCCAAGGATGCACCCGAGTCCTTGAAAGACATCGGATGGTCCGGCACCAAGAGTCGCGGCAGTGCAAAGCTACTTTGCTGACGATGTCGTACTACGTTATCTGCCTTGTGCCCTGCCAAATCAGCGGTCTCATTTCTTATGTCAACGACATCAGTGTGGCTTGTGGTGATGCAGGACTTTAGGACTTTAGAGTTTCATGGTGAGAGAAACGGGTCAGGAGCCGGCTTTCACATGCAAACCCCAACGGGGCCGTTACCAGGATTTTCTTTTCTCTGGGGCAGATTCCATTGGCTCGCACCATAAGCCGTACTCAGTAATTACTCAATCTTCACTTAATTTCTATGAGACAGCTGTTGATTTGAGGTTGGGGACAGTTCAGTTTGCAGGCGGAGCCTTTATCCACTCTCGACGATGTGATTGGCCACTTCAGGATACCTTGGTGCTCATAGTAATGCCTACGGATCTCCTGGAGGTACCTTACCCAACGTCAAAATTAAGGTCCCGCAGGTACAGTGCAAACACGCCCACTATTCGTACTTTGTATCTGTGATACGCGCCAGGCGCGTCGTATTTCTAAAGTGCTCCCACCGTAAAAAAGACACGGCCAAAAACACTGTATCCCCGGAGACAAGGCTGAACAAGTTCAAGCTCGCGCGCATTTCGGCGCCACGTACGGAGTGTCGCGTAAGTATCACGTACGAATAACGGACCACGAGTCGCCGTCGACGTAGCAGCAGTAAGCTTTGTCAACATTGCGGACTCCAACCCTGGCAACCTCCCCTCCCTTCACCAATGCATCACGACCCATTGCGTCCCTATCGTCGCCCTCCCCGTCACCGACCAGAATGGACGACTTCTCCGACGATGGCTTCGACGACCTAAACGTCGCCGTGTTACAGGAGCTCGAGACAAAAGCACTACAGGCAATCCAGTCGCAACGACAACAACATCAACTACATCAACCCTTTCGAGAGCGGCAGAGCAACCTTGGCCACCGTCATGGAGACGGAGAGATCATCGAGATCGACGTCGAGCCAGAGCTTGGGCAGGATGTTGACCGGGCTGATGCAGCTGTGCTCCGCGAACTGGCCCGCGTCCCGGCACAGCATGCTTTTGGTGGCCGACTGACAGCCGCGGCCGCACCGCCACCGCTTCCTCTACCAGCGTACTCGCAGCGGAGCCTCATTGACGTTCCGCTACCCGTTGCCACGCGCAACCTAAGCCACAATCACAATGTCGGCGGCAACTACGGCAACAACCTCAACCCGAGGAATGGCACCTTTTACCCACCACCCTCACAGCAGCGGCCCGTCGCCCCGCCACCAGTGTCCCAAGTACCAGGGCCGCCAAGGCCCTTGATTCCTGTGCGAGCGGGAGCCGCCGGTGGAGGGGTGAGCATGCCTGCGGCCGGCGCCGCAAGCGGTAGCAAAAGCACGGACAATGCAACCATCGCGGACCTTCAGCAACGAATTCGCCTACTTGAGACTGATATCTACACTGCGCAAGGCAGGGCTTCGATGATGGCGAACAAGTACGACGAAGCACAACGGAAGCACGATGCCGAGGTGGCACGAATACAGAAGCAAAAAGACGAAGAACTGGCACGGTTACGCCAACGGACCGAGGCGGCCGTGGCGGCGCAAAAAAACGCCGCCACGGAGCTTGAGTTTGCCAAGCAAGACCTCAAAGAAGAGGTCGAGAAGAACAAAAAGGGCCGGCGCACCGACCGCGCAGACGGCCCGACCACACCGCGGAAAAACACAACGGCAAGATCCAATTGGAACGTCGCCGATGGATTTGAAGATATTGAGCTTCTGCCAAGCCCCAGTAAGAACTTTGGCCGGCGCCTCAAGGAGGCGGGCGCCAGCAGCGCGATCTCTGCCATCGAACGGACGCCGACAAAAGGCAAGCGGCGGCGAAACATCACAGACAGTCCGACGAAACCCTTGGAGACGATCGCTGCGGAGGACGAAGATCTGTTCAATGGATCGCCAGGCATGCCGGCAAACGCACAGCCTCCCACACAACCCGCCAACGAACCGCCAGATTGTCCTCCATTTGTGGTCAGTACCTGTTAATATTTCTCAGTTTTCTTCGTGCCCCATTGAGCACTTGCTAACGTCCCATTGCAGTTCATTCAGGAGGTCCTCAGTTACCAGAGTCGACCTGAAGAGCCGACAACAATCGAGCTGTTCTCCCGGTATAGCTTCCCATCAAATCGAAACCAAACACTTGCTTTCTTGATGCTGCAGAGGATACCGAGCCTCGAAGGGACACAAGGAACAACGCGACTGATGCTCGACTTTTGCCAACTTGTACTGGGTATCTGGTCCCAGTGCCTACGAGAGGAGTATTACGCACCAATCCGCGCGCTCGTGTCGCTCATGTCCTATATCCTTATGCGCAACCCAACGGGCTTGACGCCGCACATCATGGCGCCTTTGGTTCCAATCGCCCAGGAAACCGTCTACCTCGTGGCGGCGCCGACATTTCACAACCACGGCGACAGCCTTTCGAACCACGCGAACTACACGGTCCGCCAGCTTGCCTGCGATATTGACACCGGGGCCATCATGTCCCTCCTCCAGCTCGTCGCATATGGCTGCCTCACCCAGACGCAGGGCGACGAGGAGCCGTCCTCCACACAGCAGCACCAAGCGAGCCAGACCCTGTCTCTGGAGATGCACCGGCCAACACAGACGTGGTTCTGGAGCGTGATCCAATTCGAGTTTGTCCTGCTGATGCTCTCGTCCAAGCAGGCACCCGACGCCTTTTTGGCCATGCTCGCGCTTTTGCGGACGTCGGCTCTGCCAGAGTCCATTGGCCCTATCACCAACGACCCTGCTCGCGATGCCGGTGTTGTTGCGGCCATTGTCATTGACCGCATCAGCCATCACATTGAGGAGCCGCCGAAATGGGCGGCCAATTCCAAGTACACGGAGTGGGATGTGCGGCTAGCGGCGCTCGGCGTGCTGGACTGCTTTGCGCAAAGCCCCTTTGGTCGCCTGAGCCTAGCTGCTGGCGAATGCACTTTGCCACGTATTGTTGGCGCCCTCGTCCCTGCATACGGCGAGCTGCGGGACAGAGACCTGCTCGACGAGCCTCTTCACCCATCCGATGACCTGCTTTCTCTGTCGGAATCGCAAATACGTGCCTACGGCATCGGCGGCTTTGACTTGGGACAGACGTTGGGTCTAAAGAAAGACAGTACAGCCCTGGGCTCGACAAAGGTAGTTGGCAACGTTTCGAGCGAGACCCTTGGAGCGGAAAGCGTGTTGTCACGAACGCCAGACGGCCGCGATCTGAGCCGCAGCGCCACACCGCTGATCCTTCTATACGTCTCGTCGGCCGTCTATCTGCTACACAGCATCCTCACCGACCCGTACACTGCACACGTTGCCAACATGCCGGCCAAGCTCGCAGACACACGCGGCGGCTTGCAAGGGTCTTACCTTCTTACCATGGCCCGGCTGGGCTTTCGCATCGACCCGGCTTTTTCAACGGGCCTCCACGAGGAGACCTACAAGGTCGCAATGGAGCTCTTCAAACTGGCTGCCACGCCTCTCGAAGAGCGTGAGTATGGGGAATGGGCCAAGAAGAGCCAAAGTCTCAGCAGCGCTGCGGCGCGCTCACAAACGCAGCAACAGGAACACAGTGACCCGTTCTGTGACGCCATTGTCGGTGACCTGACGGTCATCAAGATTGAAAAGGGCGCGGTGCCTTAGGCGGGCACCTTTAGAAACCTGACAATTGCTGTTCGTAGCCGGTCGCAACAAGCGCTCACGGCCGTCGACGTTGGGTAACGCTGAGACCCGGTTCTTGGCTTGTCAAGCCATGGCTTTGATAAGCAACGATCCGTGCAGCCCCAATATCAGAACGGTAGCAAAGGCATGGCACACCAAGCTTCGAAGCGAGAAAAGCCGTGCTCAGCGCTCGCCCAGTCTCTTCTCACCGTTCACACGAGAGCAAACTCGAGTTTGGCTTTTGCTCCTTTTCGTCCCCCGACAGTACTACATGTACAATGTATGTAATCCAGACTTATGATAATGTAGGAATTATGTATGCAGCCTATTCATTTCGCCCGTCATTAATAACCCTTGTGCCCGAATTCCTAGAAAGAGAATATTGGCATCCTAACATCGTGTCTACCCTTCTCCCCTAACCATGACGCGCTAAGCCCAAGCCGGCCGGTCTCCAAATCCATCTCGCCCATCCACTGATCCACTGAAAAGCTTCTCCGATATGTTGTGCGACCATACCTATCCAGGCGGACCGACTGGTTAACAATGCCGCTAAAGATCGGCGCGACAGAACCCGACAATGGCCAAAGTCCAGGCCACGAAAATCTGGGGGAGACACATAATGCGGGGTTGCACCCCGGAAATCCGGCTTTTCGGGCTCCCGGGGGGTGACACGGGCATTTTCAACCCTCAGCGGCGATCTTCACAAATTGCTTCAACTCACCTGTTTAAGCAAAAGAGTGAAAACGAAAGAGGGAAACGAGTATCTCATCTCGGCGCAACAATGAGCATCGGCAAAATCTAGGTCTGGCAGACCAAATCGCAGCAGCCGGCGTACGACCCGGGCGCGACGGCTGCACTTTCCAGCGTCGTCGCAGCCAAAAACGCACATCGTGATCTTCTTTTGTTTCTTCTGCATACTCTCAATTGCATAGAACCACGCGTGGCCGGGGCCACGTGTACAGCAACCCCTCTTATCCCATAATTGCATGATTCCGGCAGGAAACCCAGATGGCACCCAAACGGAAGCTCGCAAATACAGACTCGGACGCTGCTGGCAGCCCTGCGTCTCTAGTCTCGCAGCAGCAGCACGACCGGGCCAGCGAACACGTCCACGAACGCCAGCAACAGCTCCAACAAGAGCAGGATGAACAGGAACAGCGTCAAGACGGGCCGTCGACTCAACAGCAAAAGCAACCACCACCAACACCTCCACAGCAGCAATGGCAGGCCAGCGAGGAAGGCTCCGCGCCCGAGCCGGTACCGTTGGCCAGTGTGGAAAACTATCCACGAAAACGGATATCCATTGCTGTAACATCTACCCTTTCCCAGATTCTCCCATTCGCTCCTAGGCCACGCACATTGAAATGCTCATCCCGCACCTTTTGCGATCACCTACTGACGCGCTAGACACGTTTCGCCCAGTTTGCCAGTGTAATCTATGTCGCTTCAGAAAAACAGTATGTGCCACACATCCCGAGCCGTTAATGTAACGCACCACGAAGGTGTTTCTTTCTGCGACTTCCTGCCTTCTCCTCTTTCCTCTTCGTCAGCAATCCTCTCTACTTATCTCGTCCGTGCATATAAGGCAGCGCTATCCTTCTACTGGTCACCTCGCCACCTTGTTCGTTTACTCTCCTTTGCATACTGACAGTCGTCGCAGAAATGTGACGCCGTTCGTCCTACCTGCGGTTTTTGCTCCGGACTCGGTGTCCAATGCCAGTACAGGGAATCAGCCAATTTCTCAGCTACGCCAAAGGAAGGCCGATGTCGTGCCTCGGCCGCCAAGGGATCTCAGCCGACCAATTCGACATCAAAGGGCGCTTCGCCACTGGCCGATGCCAATAATGTGTGCAGTCTGGAACGGCGCCTGATGGAGCTCGAGTCCAAGTGGGCTGCCCTCGAAAAACAGACGATGGGCGCCATTACGGCTCCAGGTACGCCCGTTATGAGAGCAAGTCCCCATGGAGAGCACGTCGTGCGACCAGCTACGACAGTACGCATGCAGCCGCCACTTCCCGGGTGCGGCAACGGTGGTATAATACCCCTGCCGGCCATGCTCGGGGACCCAATACTTTCTGGATCGGCAACGGATATTGGCACCGCAGACTACGGCAAAGGAAACGGTGTCGCCAGGTCTAGGGGCTTCGATGGCAGAATGGCAGGCACGGCTACCCCAGGACATCCTCACCAACAGCAGGGCTCCATCACCAGCTCGATTACTCTCCAGCAGCAACGCATCAGCAAAACAACCACTCGTGGCCAATTCACAGCGCGGCCAAGCCTTCTCACGTTCGAGTGTCCTCCATATGTTCCCTCCGAGAGCTACGACGACTCGGGCGAGTTTTATGACTGTGAAATGGCCGCCGGCGACGACTTCAAACGCCAAATGACCCAATGCCTTGCCATCTTCCCAGACGTCTCGAAACGCACGGTGCGGCTTGTGCTCCAGAAGTTCGTCGAGAATTTCCTGGGATGGATGCCACTCTTCGAGCCCACGGCCGTCTACACAGTCGTCAACGCGGCGTGTGCGAGCGGGTTTGCACCCGCCGACCCCAACAGCTGCCTGGCCATGTTCATCCTGGCGACTGGCACGCTTCTCCAGAACCACGCCGAAATCCGGTCCAGCCCGCTGCCGGGGCTTGACTACTTTTCCCACGGCAGCCACATGCTGGAGCGGTTCACATTTATGAGCACCAGCCTCACGACACTGCATTGCCGCATCCTGCAGTCGGCGTACTTTAAGCTGACGCTGCACCCACTACTGTCGTGGAACGTGATTATGCAAGGCACGCGGGACTGTATGAATGTGCTGAGCTCGCGATGGTTCAAGAATCTAGACCCGTCCGAGACGGAGCCCTGGCACCGTGCCTTTTGGGCGTGCTCCATTATGTCTGAGTATGTTGTGTCATGTTCTTCCTGATTTTCTGATTGCTGCTTTTTTTCATCTCTACCCAATTTTAACTCACCGAAGCGAATTCGAAGCGTCGCTGCGCATGTACACGATCGGTCACCGTCTATACCATGAGATCGTGCCACTACCACGGTTTGAGAACGAGGATACAGGATTCTATTATTTTCTTGCACAGATCAGCCTTCGCAAGCTCGTGTGCGACACACTCGACGTTGTCGGCTATTATGGTGAGCACCCCATCCCCTTGCTTCGGTGTGCCACCTTCCTGACTTTGATTCACACTGACCTTTGTTTGTACTTTACCTTCTTTCAGACAGCCGTGTCATCTATGCCCCTGTGGTCACCATCGAGCTGCGCAAGCAGGCTGCCGAGTGGCACCGCCACCTGCCTGTCGCCATCCGCTTCCCACTCGATAACTCGCCCTTGTTTGACGCCCGTAAGTCGTTTCTTCGCTTGCAATATTTTTCTCTTGCCACAGTGCTCGGGTGGGCCTCGGTGCTCAAGGTCATGGATGTCTACGGCACCGACCGCGAAAACACGGACGACATTGCACTCGCCCGCCTCGAGGCCTCGGAGTGCTTTCGCTCTTGTGCGCTGTACCTCGAAGTGGCGGCGGAGCAGCTGCTGGGCTGGCAGCTTGGGACAAGCATCTCTCTGTGGACGTAAGTCTCCCGCGATCCTACCCCATGTTGAGTGAAATTTGCCTGTTTCCTATCACTAATGGTGTAGAACCTTTGCTTTTGTGGCCATGATGATTGTCACGCACAAGGCGCCTGCGCTAGCGTTTATTCCGATTACACGCGACGATGGGCACATCCGCAGTGCCATGGAGCTGCTGCGGCCGTGGGGCCATCTGCCGTATGTTGCCAACTCGCTGTCGAGGATGACAATGTTGGCGGAACGCAGTGGGATCACGACATGAGGGGCAGGTGCCGGATGTGACGATTTGAAGTCTACACGAACGAGTACAAGTAATAAGATCCAAAACAAATATCAAATGTCAATCACAATATGCAATCGAGGTACGAATCCAGCAGATAAGCCGATACTCGCACGTACTAGGAGAAACAGGTGTAGTACTCTTTCTACCATGCTGTTGATGAATCAAATTGCAGACAGCATAAAGCAATGCCAAAGACGGCGTATCTCAAACCACTGGCTCATTGATTTTACCTTTTGTATTTAGCCCAAGTGTCGTAGCGGGATTCATACCCAAATCCAGGGCTGCTCCTTATGTATCAATGGATGGTCTTTTTATTTTTATTTTTATTTTTATTTTTATTGTTTTGTTGCTTTCTATTTGGGCAAGAACGTTGACGAGTACCTGCGCTCCAAGCACATCAACCTGCCCGACAAGTTCCTTAACCGCGGCCGGTTCTAGACGAGTGAGGTGTCAGCTGTGTCGGTAGCTTTGAAATGTACCAGTGAAAATCGAAACAAATCAAATTGCATAAATTAAATAGCCTCGGACTTCCTCGACGAGATGAAATCCGTAAACTATCCAGCTTGGGGCGGACTCTAGTGCTCAACTACGACGTCAAAAGTGCCGCAGTAAAAGGATCCCGACCCCTGCAATGAGAAGCAGTACTGTAAGGAGCAACGCCGATAGCAGTCTCACCCATATACCTTGCACCAATCTTCGTAGGCTGTCCACCAGCACTCAGCATGGCAGCACTGGGACCGCCATTCGATACGGACGACCGCAAAGCGCCGAAGAAGGAGTGCCACTCGATGTAGGCGAATCTTTCCAGACACGACATCGGGGTGTTAAAGCAGTTCAGGGTTATCGAAAGGTCGTGGTCATTGTAGTTGAATTCGGTCACCCTGAATGACGTACTGGAGTGAGAGCACAAGCCCATTGGTAAAGACGGACGGCTGTGATACTACATCGCGAGTCACTAAATAGAGGTATCGTCGAGAAATACAATAACAGAAAGCCATTGACTGTCGTCAAGCCGTCGACGAAACCTCTGCCATTGGAGCTAGCAGCCCAAGTTACCACACGTTTCACCAAGGGCAACAGTAATAATAGACTTAACTTTGTACACTGTGCCGCAACTCTCAGTGCTTCGTCGTTTTTTATTGTACTTCGTTGTAAGCATGTCAACCTGGAAGTTCCCGAAATTGACTGCCGGCGGTGGCACTAATAAGCGGGATGCCCGGCCCATAAATTACCTTGGACCAGCTGTACCCAAGACCGAAATCGGCCTAGTTACCGTGGAATCCTGGTTGGTCTCTGAACATAAAATGGCACCATGCCCGTGTTTTGCTCAGTTCATCACGAAACGTAGCTGTCCTGTCCTCCGTTCCCTTTTGTGTCTGATTTGATGGTGGCTATCTGTAACGGTAGATATGAAGGGGCAGCCACCATGACAAGGAAGATGAGAGGGTACTCAGAAACAAGTCGTGGCTCACGCCGAGGCACCACCTGTCCCGATGCATCCGGAATGGAAAGTCGTATTTTGTCGTTTATGTGTGCTTCGAAGGGATTGTCTGCTGTGGGTCGTCTGCAGTCCGCAGTCCGCTACTGACATGCGGGGAGAGCCGTCACGGGACTGGCATTTTGGCGACAACTCGAAACCCGACAAGAACCCCCCGGCGTTGGTGTGCAAATGGCGAGGCTACGCCGTTTTAAGAGAATAGACGGCTTCTGGCTTCTGTGCCGAAACATTGTGAACTCTGACATTGGCCAGTCAGATCCGAGTAGTGTTTCGACGGTCCTTTTGGTCCTATTTGTCCTTTTGGAGAGGCTCTGTACGCCGTACTCCGCACAGAACCCGCTGTCGAACAAAATATCGCTTATTGAGATGGGACATTGACAGCATCATCGTACGGTTGACAACAGCCAAGAGGGACAGAAAGGGAGAGGACAGCGGGACACGAGGAGGTGAATCAACCGCGGTATCTCAGTGCCCAATTCACCCGCCAACTGCCAATCGTTGCTTCCCGTTCTGGAATGTCCTCGCCTGTCCATTTAATGGGGTCGCTCCTGCCTGCGAACACAACTTGAGGGATGCGGCCGTCAAACGTTGTGCCCACTTTTCGCTATGTTCCTGCCGTTTTCGCGTGGCAAATCTGGAGCCTTTTCCAGTCCAAAGAGTGATTTCTCCGTACAAATAGCGCTGGCCCTGATTACTTAGCTTTGCTCCAGCGGGGGAATCAACAAGCGGGGAGGAAAACTGCCGCTATGTTGCCGCAACCCACGACCCAAAGAGGAAAAGGCCAGCGGTTTGCGGGCCACGAGCCTCGGCAATACCATGAACTGGAAGTGCTACGCGACGCCTTCCTTCACGCTGCCCAGTTTCCCAGGGACGGGATAACCAGGGACGGCATAACCAACATAAAACCTCAGGCCCGTATTTCTCTTTCCAAATCTATTGTAGAGGAGCCGTCATCTCATTTCCTTGCTCCTCCTCCGTCACGAAAACCTCACTAACCATCTCATACCGTGACATATTCTTGACACCCACAACTAACAAAGATCGAGCCGAACATTGAACCGAAGCCGCCGCTCCCTGTTCGTCGTACTATTCGCCTTCTTTCTTCTTCCTCTTCCGTTTCCTACACCTTCTCTTCCACCTGCGATATTCTATCCTCCCATATTATTCACACATCCAACATGGCCGAACGTCTGGGCTCCATCCTCAAGCATCTCGCTCCGGGCAAGGGTGCCGTCGACACCATGTAAGCAAATCCCCCCATCCTTATTCCGGCCTCCCACATCGAGTCGCCTCCTTCTGACACGTTACGTCCAGCACCTCCAAGAATCCCGACGACATTGTCATCACCCTCGCCATCCGCACGCCCCTCACCAAGGGCAAGAAGGGCGGCTTCAAGGACACCTCCCTCGAATACATTGTTTACGCCCTGCTCCAGCAGGTCCGCGAGCGCAGCAACCTCGACCCAGCCCTCGTTGAGGACATCTGCCTCGGCAACGTCAGCGATGCCAAGGCCGCCTACAAGCTGCGCGCCGCCGCCCTTGCTGCCGGCTTCCCCAACACCGCAGGTGCATCGTCGCTGAACCGCTTCTGCTCGTCCGGCCTCAAGGTCACAGCCGATATTGCCAACCAGATCTCGGCCGGCAACATCGAAATCGGCGTTGCCATTGGCGCCGAATCTATGACCGTCGGCGGCGACGCGCTTACCCAGCCGTTTGACGAGGAGGTCACCAAGCACAACCAGGAGTCGGTCGACTGCCAGATGCCCATGGGCTGGACGAGCGAAAACGTGGCCAGTGACTTCGGCATCTCGCGCGCCGAGATGGACCGCTACGCCGTCGAGAGTTTCCGCCGCGCCGAGCAGGCCCAGGCCGATGGCCTCTTTGACGACGAGATCGTGCCCATCAAAACGCGCGTCAAAGACGCCGAGGGCAACTGGAAGGAGGTTACGTTGACGCGCGACGAGGGCATCCGGCCCGGTACCACGTTCGAGGCGCTGAGCAAGATCCGCGCCGCCTTCCCCCAGTGGGGCACCGCCACCACCGGCGGCAACGCCAGCCAGGTCACCGACGGCGCCGCCGCGGTGCTGCTGATGAAGCGGTCGACCGCCCAGCGCCTGGGCCAGCCCATTGTGGCCAAGTACGTCGGCAGCACCGTTTCCGGCCTCGCACCGCGCATCATGGGCATCGGCCCGTCGGTGGCGATTCCCAAGCTGCTGGCGCAGTACAACCTGACGCTGGCCGACATCGACGTCATCGAGGTGAACGAGGCCTTTGCCAGCATGGCCGTCTACTGCCGCGACAAGCTGGCACTGGACTGGTCTAAGATGAATCCGCGTGGCGGTGCCATTGCGCTGGGCCACCCGCTGGGCGCCACGGGTGCGCGCCAGATCGTCACGGGCCTGAGCGAGCTGCGGCGGACAAAGAAGAAGATATTGCTGACCAGCATGTGCATTGGCACGGGCATGGGCATGGCAGGCCTGTTTGTGAACGAACAGTAAGCGTGATCAGAGAAGAAAAATAGGAAGAAAAGGAGAGGGTGTGGAAGAGTTGCGCTTGTGGATGCAATCAGGCCTTGATACGACCTCACATGTTACCACATCTGTGGCCAACCCATGATGCCCATAATGCATTGAACAAAAGATTCTGGATAAGAGCGTTGAGACAACCGACATCAGTTGATATGTTGTATGCCTGAGGAATCCGTTGTCTGCTGCCACCTTGTATATAAGTGTATTTTTTTAGTAATTGTTTTGCAAAATTGAACATGATCAGCCTCCCAGACCGGTCCAAAAGTGCTTCCCAGCCCATGTACGTAGCAAAATTTCAGTCATCCCTCCATGCCATGTGCCTAGACGTAAGCAAGATGCGCATGAGGACGGCATAGATCTGCAACGAGGGCACCAAAGGGTGCCGTCAGCCATACGTGACCAGTTCGTGGGCGAATCGCAAAGATCACAATTTGATATCTCCGGCTGTCGGTCGCGCACCATCTCAAGCCATCGCGCAAAGGGAAACCTCAAGATGGTCGTCGTCGTCCACGACCCCACTTCCAAAAGCAGCAGATGTCGTTCTCACGCTCGTTTGATAATTTGACGTTCCATTAATTTACGAAACGCGGAGAAGAGGAGCAGATTTAAAAGAGTCGGACCGAGTCCGAGATCGACGAGGAGACGGACGACGAGCGCGATGCAGCACACCAGATAAAATGTGAGAGAATAAAAAACTCAAACTGCAGTGTACATAATGTACCTGGCTAAATCCTCCGGCCGATATCAAAATGGGATGTGCGTCCGATGGGAAGATTCACGATCTGCATGGCCTTGTGAGGATCAGGGATGAGACGGCGACGTAGACGGCATTCTGTCCAGAGTCGTAAAGGAAATAAACATGTGGGAGAAGCCGAATAGAGAAAGACAAGAAACGTTTCATAGGAGGATGTCGCTGCAGATCATATGTGCTCCTCCGGATCGACGGCCAGTTTG